CACACACACAGAAACAAACTCTCCAGTCGGACATTAAACACATCATTGAACTACTAATCCATTTGTTTCTCAGACTGAAGGAAAAAGGTCCCGCTCTCAGATTGGATGCGGGTTAATCACAAACACATTCATCACCTGCAGCTCTTCCTCAAAGCCTGAATACTTAAAGTGTATCAGGGAGGAAGATTTTCTCCATAAATTTTTATTGAAGGTTCAACACCTGCAATGAATACGTAATAAATGTATTCAGGGTTTGAATTTATTCACGGTCCAAAACAGCTGCACTTCAGCGCCCCCCCTCCCCACCCCCACACACAGCACGCTCTTACCTGTAGCTACACATCACATCCTCTTCATGTAAAACGTCCCACTCATGACGTACAAACATGAAGCTTTGCCTCGTCCACAGCCAGAAACAACAGTGATGCTGGCTTTTCTGTCATCTCCTGTTACACTCAATGCTTGTCAAACAGTGTGAACCAGCTAACAACACGATCACTGCTCTGTGTGTGTGTGTGTGTGTGTGTGTGTCAGGGTGTGTGTTTCCATTATTTCTTCATTGTTCAACAGTGGAGGGTCTATAAAGCAAGGATGGATAAACAAATACCCCTTGTTTGGCCCCTGGCGTTGGCTGCACACAATCCATTTAGTAAAAGCACAACCTATCAGTGTATTCACACACACATACACACACACAGAGGCACACACATATGTGTTTATTATATGTGTTCAGTTATCACCTCTGTAACGATGGGCCTATTTTCCCCTCAACTCAGCATGGCCTACACTTCCTTTCAAAAACATCCCATTTACTCGGTGCCATTTACAGATCTCTTCACCACATAAAACACACACTTGCACACACACAAACACACAATACAGGTGAATTTGTGTACACTTTAAAAAGCAAAGAGACATACAGTCATTGTGAAAATAAAATTCATCCTTGTTTAATTGAAAGGTTTTATGTATTTGAACATAATAAAATTGTCAACAGATGTTTGGACCTCAAATAATCAACAAAATAAAAAAATTACACTATTTATTAAAAATTGGGCCAAAACATGAGAACGGTTTATCTAAAACAAAAACTAAAACCAGCTCATGTTTCAATAACTTGTAGAACTGCACTTAGCAGCAACAACTGAAGTAATCATTATTTATTGCCTCTCACATTGTTGTAGAGGACCTGTGGCCCACTCTTCGTTGCATACTTCCTTGCAAAAGGAGCAGACAGGTGACAGACTGTACCAGCAAATGAAAACTACATGGTCTAACAACATAAATAGACAGAACAAAATGATGTTATGTGTCAACACAAGGTATAAGAACATATGACAATGGCACAAATGGAACTCCATACATTTTTACCATTCAGTGGATTAAAATTTCTGACTTCTTGGTCTAGTTTAGCTTTCTTTATGGGGACTTTGCTTTGACATTCATATCTAACCCTGACCACCAACCCTAAAATTAACTTCACAGGTACATAGCTGACCCTAATTCACACCTTAGCCCTAAACCTAACCACTGACCCACCAATTCATTTCCCCTCATGGGTACTAGGTTCAGGTCCCCATAAGTACTCGTTGTTCCCCACAAGTAGGTGTGTATGCCAAAATAGGTCCCCATATCATAGGGAATACCAGCTTCCACATGCTGTTTTCAGTGATCTTAATGAGCAGTTATGCCATTATAGCAGAAAAAAAACCAAATGAAAATGATGGAGCTAATGATGACTCTGTTACTGTTATGTTTCGTCTGGGTTCATGTTTTTATTTTGACTTTATTCTGATTTTTCTGTCATATTCATCTGTTTTCTTC